TTCTAACGGTCCTGCTTTCTGCCCGGCCTTCTACCGGTCCTGGGTTCTAATGGTCCTGGGTTCTACCGGTCCTGGGTTCTAACGGTCCTGGGTTCTAACGGCTCTGGGTTCTAATGGTCCTGGGTTCTACTGGTCCTGGGTTCTAACGGTCCTGGGTTCTAACGGCTCTGGGTTCTAACGGCTCTGGGTTGAATAGTTCCCGCTATAAGGACCTCGGTGCCATACCGTGTAAACTTGCACATGGTGGCTGCCTGAAACTTCCAGGCCAGAACCAGAACCCGGAACTCGGCCGGGTCGACGCAGAGGTCGTTGCAGAACCGCTCCATGCCCTCCTCCAAGATGGCGTCCTCCAGCTCGTCCTTGTAGCGCGCGAACAGCTCGTCGATGCGCGCCATGGACAGCCCGTCGCCGTCCTCCCTGCACGGCTCCCTCATGGCGGCGGAGATGACGGGCGTCTCCACGGTAACCTCTAAGGCCTTGGTGCCATTCAGCAGCTCGCTGGTGGATTTGCCAGAGGGGGCGCTGCAGTCGTCTTTGTGCACGCCGCCGCTGGCGCTGTCGACCCGCTTGTGGGACTTGGACGCGCTGTCCTTGTCTCCGCTCTTGCTGCCCAGAGACGACGTCGGGTTCTTACACTTGGTGACACACTGGCCCATGTCTCTCGTCTCTGTCCTCCTCGCCGTCAGTCCCCGTCCGAACCGCCCACACACCTCTTCTCTGGCCGGGCGAGATGCCTCAACATACCCTCAGGCCTGAGAGACGAACAGGTGCATGCTGGGAATCTCTACAGTCAATGTTTTTATTCAATCAGAGTAAAAAACAACAGAACTACCTTTCCCAGATCTGCCAAAGCTTCAACTGTCAAACCTAAAAACCCTGAAAGAGAAAAGGAGAAAAACATCAACTTCACTGTATGTAGGTCTGGACTTGGACTAGGCCATTCTAACCCTTTGATCTAAACTATCCCATTATTTAATTTCTCCTTGTGATCAATAAAGCATTTTTTGAATCTCTCTGCCTGGATGCAAGTTTGGACAATAAATAAATAAATAATAATATATATCACAATAAACATGTGATCAATGTCTGATAGAACCGCACAGCATTCTGGGAGATGTAGACAGAGGAAAGACTTTAGTCACTGCTAGCTAAGCTAGGTGGTAGCATCAACTCTCTCGCTCTTTGGTTGCCTAGTAACAACCTGCTAGGTAACTGGGGCAGAGGCAGATTAATGCTTCAAATTAAAACATCTGAGTGAAAACTGAATGAAACAGGAAAGGTTTGGGTGCATTTCAAACAAAAAGCCTAAAAATTATCAACAGACCGACAAACGATTATTTTGTGTTCCTGTTTTCAGCCTTATTGTCCAGAACCGGCTGGACAACATGGAGGGCAAGCAGACCAGAGAGCGTCACCATGGCGATTCCACTGGACAGGAAGTTATTAACAAACAGGAATATTGTTTCAACGGTATAAAAATAAGGGCGTAATAATGTAAGTCTCCTGTCTCAAAGAATAATAAACTTTAAATTTGTACCAAACACTTAAACCTGGAACTGGAGGACATTTTAAATATCCAAAACAAAACAACACAAACTATAAGACAAATAAAAAAACATTTACTAAAGTTGATTATGAAGTCTATGGAAACAAAGTAACTCTTCAGAAAAATATCAGAATGGAAATTAGAGATTATTTTAATTTATCATGTTCAGAGTAAATTTCAAAGTTGAGTTTGAGAAGTCAAAAATTTAGCTTGAAAAAAGTTTTCCATCGAATTTCTGAAATTTATTCAAAAATTTATGAGGTTCTTTAAAAATATTGCGACATATTAAACGTGTAGTGATTTAGCAAAAAACAACTGAATATTAGATTTCCTTTGTATCGTCTGAGATCAAATCAGAGGAATAACTGCTCTTCTGTTTTTCCTCCTGAAGGAGGAGAATCCACCACGTTTACGTCCCATAAAAATATTAATATAGAAACTAAAATGTCATCGTCTGTTAATCTGTTCGTCTCTCTGAAAGAATTGTTGGCTTTTAGTTGGATCATTTCTCTGGAATAAACCCAGAAATGTTAGAATCAGGCGTCTGATTCTCACACTTCCAGCAGGTCCTGATTTCTTTACCCAGAAAACAGCCAAAATAAATGATGAGGATTTTTATATGTGAATTCCAGATTTATGCGTCGGATCAGAACACGATGGCTTTGGGTAAACGGACAATAAAACGTAAATAATCCTATCTGTGGGATTATTATGGGATTAAGTCGCAACGTTCCCACATTTAGGAGTGTTTTTCACCCGCAGCAGCGACCAGAGACTGTTTCTGTTTAAGTTCATCGTTCGGGTCGAGCTTCCTGGAGCCGTCGGCGTTTCGGCTCGTTCACCGAACAGATGATTCAGGTTTTCCTCGGCGGGTTCTGGTCGCGCTCCAGACAAACGCAGAAAAAGCCCAGACTCATAAAACGTAATCATTGATGTTGCAACGTGATGCTGGGAGATTCCTGCGTTTAGATGTGGGTTTGCATCAAGGCCGGATTAATCATGTGGTTCCGCTGGTCGGACCTAATCCATGATTCAGAGCCGTTCCTGGGAAATATTCTGCAACGCGGCAATGAAACATCAAGATTGCTCAACTTTGGTTGCAAAAGTTCATCCAGAATACTTTTGCAAACAAAACTTTTTCATATTTTACCAAGCTGAAACCACAAACCTTTCCACTGTGGTCAGATTGGATGAAGGGTCAGAATTTATTATCATTAACTTCTTATGATAAGAACTTTATTGTCTCAATAAATATTTTTAGGGATGCAAAGACTTAAAAATGTATTAAAATATTGATATTTGATGTTAATTTACCAATATTTACCAATATGCTGGCTCAGCCATATTTACCCATATTTTACTTGATTTATCATCATAATAATTAATAGATTCCTTTATTACTAAAATAATTGATAAACGTAATCAGTTTGTTTTCTTATTCACTGGAAAAAAAGATGTGAAGTTTGAGGCTGAAATTTTTAATTTATTCTGGGATTAAAGGCAGAAAAGGAGACAAATTTCCATTCAGTTGACTTCAGAAAGCTGGACGTTTTTCCTTAGATAGTAACAGAAGGGGATTCATATAATGTAGAACTGATGATAAGCATTTATTCCTTGTATCTTTTAGGGAACTGTTGGGCTGTAATCATAGCCGGCGTGTTTCAGCTGAATGAGACGAAGATGATGATGATGATGATACTTACATAAAGTCTTTCAGAGGGCATCGTCTTTCAGATCTGCTCCATCATTGCGACCTTGACATCAGCAACGCTGCAGTCAAGCAGAACGGGACACCTCATCATTCCCAAACCTGCAGGGAATATTTCCCTCTGGATGTCATTTAGCCACAGCTCAACCTAAACCTCTCAAAAAAACATTATTACTGGTTTAAATCTGACTTACAGTGTGGCTTTGAGCAATTTTCTGTCTCAAGTTTGAGGTTTCCTTCCTAACATCTTACACATTTCACAGCTCAAACACATGCTATTAATTACACATCAAGTTGCTGTTAGAGCTCAGCTCCAGTCTGTTTTGGATTAGCAGTGGTTTGGTCCATTCCTGATACACAGAGGCGGTCCGAGACCAAGTTACCAGGGGGCCCAGGAACCGAGTTTATAGCTCAATCAAACTTGCAGTTTTTAAAAATACTTTTTTCCCTCCAATGGGCTTCTGTAGTTTAGGATGAGCATCTAGCTTTACAGTTTGAATCTATTTAGACTTTGAATTTACATCAACTCCCAGAAGGAATGATTGAAATAAATATTTGTTGTCAGTAATTTCTTTTGAAGAAAATGAGAAAAATAAAACAAATCGGATTTGGTATGAAAGAAAATAAGACCTTATTTTTATGGTATATTGCTCAGCCTTTACAGCCATGGGGCCCAGACTAAATTAATCAAAAGAATATCATTAAATCACTTAATATTAAGTAAGAGAGTCACAAGTGTGAGCTCTGATCAAGATGAAACTGTGATTCTGTCTCAGTACAGCTGAAAAAGTGCAGCACCTTCATTTTTGCCATTGTTAAAGTAAAACTCAGACAGTAAAAAATGAAACTGGGACAAAAAGTAAATTAGAAATGTTTACAAATGTCACAAAAAATTTATTTAATAATTTCTCCTCAGTAGAGGGGCGCTAGCCTCCCGTTGGCCCCCTTCTAGAAACGCCTATGCAGATACATTTAAAGGTATCCAGGATAACCTGCAGTGATCAATGCACCGGGCATGTAGAGACAAGTCTGCCTCAGTCCTAAACTGGCCAGCCTGGACGTCTGGAGGCCTACTTTTATCCACAACAAACCAGCACCATGTAACTCATCCAGACATCAGTTTAACCGGATTAGCTGGTCTGAAATCTGTCCGAGTCAAAGCACAGTTTCAATATCAACATTTAACATCTGCAATACTGCTGTCAGTGGCTCACTTTTATCAGAAATCATCTTTAACGTCGTTTTAGGAAGTTAAGTTTGGTTTAAAAAGAAAACAGCCGAGCAAAACCGAGTGATTCTAACAGCAAAAACAGTCCCAAACGAGATGTAAACAGCGCTTTTAATCCGATGTAAAGGCGACACTCTATGCTGTTACGAGCTAAATTCGTTATTACCCGCCGAGGAGCTGCTGATCAATAATCCATGATTGGTCAGGAGGACATTTAAACATCTCCATCTGAAGAGCCTGGCCCAGGCGGCGCCGCAGCTACAGCTTAGCTGCGGCTAAGCTAGCTCCTTAGCGGCTCACAGCACTGCAAATATCCGACAGAAAAAGACTCACCTTTCCGGAAAATTACGTGTTGAGTGGTTTCAATGTACATCATTCCGAAAAAGAGGGTTTAAAAAAGCAACAAAGAAGTTAAATAAGTTGGTCGAAACCCTGAAGTGGAGCAAAAACTCGTAGAGAGCTAGCTAACTAGCGGGGACAGCAGGCGAAAGAAAACTTTAACACCAAAGTTGGTTGTTTTCCTGTTTTAGGGAAAAAATACGCAAAAACGCCGAGAGTCGGAGTTTGTCTTCTAGTCCATTTAGAGTCGAGTTCAGTGTGAGAAAAAAGAAACTCGGAGTAACGCTGCCTATTTCTTTGTGCTTCCCCTTCTAGTCATTGAGCGCAGCTACATTAGAGACATTTTCCTGCATCACTTCCTGCCTCCCAGCAGCCAACAGCTGATCTCCATCCGAACAGGGCCGAGCACCCAGAATCTGGGGCCCGGTTCTCTCTGCCACCTTCCTGGGTTATAATAATTAGAGGTTATTCATTATAGTTGAGTTTAATTTAGTTGTGACTTTTTGTTTATTTAATTCAGTTAGTTTTAATTTGTTTTGTAGAGTGTGTTTGCTAAATTTTATTAAATATTGTTCAGTCTTTAAGTTTAGTTTTTATTAGTTGTAGTAGTAGTTGTAGTTTTTTCATACTTTGGTTCATTTTTAGGTGCAGAATGCAAAAACGTTGAAGTATTGTGCATATGTATATTGATTATTATTGAACAACCAACTGACTCTGGTAAGCTTCCTCTTTAACAAGCTAAATATTTGTGTCTAAACTAATTATTTAGTTTGGAGATAGATATTTAGTTAGAAAAATAAAGATTCATCTGAGAACTAAATATTTAATTTAAAACTAAATATCTATCTCCAATTTGGTTACTAAATATTTAGCTCCCTAACTAAATATTTAATTTGAAAGCTAAAAATTTAGTTTGTGAAATAAATATTTAGCGTATTTATATACAGTATTAGGTTTTGAAAATATATATTTTGTAAGAAAAAATGTTTTTTAATTTCGAGTTTCAAATTTAGTCTACAAACTAAATATTTAGCTTAGATTTAAACATTTTGTTGTCTACTAAGTAATAGGTTCCTAAAGTATTTAATTGATATTTAGTTTACCTAAATATTTATCTTGTTAATTAAATATTTATTTTGGAACTCTGAGATTTATAAATGTTGGAGTAATATATGACTTTGAAAAATGAACACTCACTTTTTTTTTCTTTGAGACAGGGTAAATAAACCAAATTATTGTTGCTAGTACTTCACTGTGTAACTTTACAAACAGCACCCAGAAATTACGACCCTTTGTTATTAATAAAGTATTTTTGAACTGAACTGAAGTTTATGCACTTTTTATTTAACTACAGTAATGCACAATAAATTACAATCTCCCATTTTATGAGGTACGTTAAGCTTACCTTCTGAAAATAACAGCTATTTACTTTACATTATTTATTTATTTATTTATTTATACATTATTTATATGTATTTTTTATTGGAAATACTCATAGAGATTAAAACTTCTTTTCCGAGGCTGAGAGACGGACATGTTTCTTCAATATATATAGGGTGAAAATATGACCTCAATAGTTATAGTTAATCATAAGACACAAAAACTTTAGATTTTCCAAATGCTGAGCTGAAGAGTTCATAAACAGACCTCCATAATCCGTCAGATGGAGAATGAATTAAGTAATCAGGTGTGTTTTGATTTGGAGTGAGAAACACTTTTTGCTTCAATAAAAAAAAACTCAATTTAAGTCTCAGTTTAGAGAACAGTTTGTCAACATCTCATATCAGCATAACTCAGTATTTGTATCACTCCTTACTAGGCTCATATTTTGGTCTGTTTTGTTCTCTTTCTGTTGTAATATTGCATATTAATGTTTTGTTTTCATCATAATCGGTGGAAACAAAGGCCTGAAAACATCTGTCTGTGTGGAATTAATCTTTAGTTTCACTCAGGGATGGAGGTGCTGAAATAAATGAACTTTTTAGTGACAGGATGCGAATTCACGAGCAGTGTTGCTTTAAGACTACGTCATCAGCCAGCGACTAAGTCACCTCTTTAAAAGCAAGAGGTAAGGTCGCGTTTTACGCTTTAAGTAAGAATAAATTATGTAATTAAAAAAAAACTATGACTCCTTAACATCAATGTTAGCATCTTAGCTCGGGTCTGTTGTTTGAGACGCAGTTATTTTTTCTAAAATATATTTTTAGGAGCGAAGTTCGGCTGAATTGGTTCATTCCGGGGAAGCGAACAGGATCCAGATTTGCGACTGGATTATTTTAGGGTGTTTTACGACCCTCCGAGGAGATCTTCAGCGGTTATCCAACAGCTCAATGGAATAAGTGATGAACAAAAACATTTTATGTCAACTAGATTTCCTTCAGGAGCTGTAACTGAGTTATAAACACCAGCCAAATAAAGTAGCAATGAAAATATCAGCTTTTATTCATATTCCGTTCAAAAATACTTCGTTTATACCACAAGGAAATAAAATGTTGTAACTCGTATTATTCAAGGTTCTTCACAGAATTGTTGTATACGCAGATTGCTGTGAGCTGCAAGGTTCTCCTGTAGGGATCTGTGTTACAGCAGCTCTGATGAAGCTTCTGACTGAAGGCTGTTGTTGTAAAGCAGTCTGATGAAGACGAGGCTCAGGGTTGGCCATCATTTTCTCCATTACAGAAAAGGAAAAAAAACCCACAAATCTGTTCAGAGGGAAAATACTTGACTCGTTTTTGCAATTTAAAATTCATTTGTAAAGTTAATAAAATTCCTCAAATGCCAACTATTTTTGCAGATATTACATCATAAAATCTTTTATTCTCACTTTCTCTTTCTCTTTAAAGAACTTCAATATTCTACAGACAGTAATCAGAACAAAATTTGTTGTTAATTACATGTAATTCATAATTTATGTAAGGAAATTACCTTGTTTAAGTAGAAGCTAGTTTGTTTCCCCTTTAAGAAATAATATCAATGCTTGAAAAACGTATTTTGGGTTTATTGTAGTTTCATAGTTTCTTATTAAACATTGTTTGATCAAAGGCGTTTAAGTGTCAAAATAAGGACGTTTGTAAGGGTCAAATAATTTTACATAATGCTGCATTTAAATGTTTGTTTTCTGTCACATTTATATTTAAACTTAACCTGCAAAGACACCAGGGTTAAATAATGAACAGCTAAACAAATGAACAGCTCACGTTTTACATTTTTGATCCAACATTAGACATGTTTAAAGGTATTTTCTAATATGTGGAGTGAGACCATTTTTAGATATCTTGTTTTTGAAATCTAGCAGACTTTAACTTTCCAGTATAAAGGTAAAGAAATATATAAATAACTGAATTAAACCGTCAGTTAAAGCTGCAGTATGAAACTTTTATAAAACATGTTTTTACATATTTGTTTAAACTGTTAGGACACAGATAATCTGTGAAAAGTTCAATCTCTTCCACTTCCTCCACTGTCTGAAGAAATGCACCAGAAACAACCAATGAGAGCCATAAGGAGGAGGGGCTTAGTGCTGTCAATCATGCTTGTGAACTCGCTGCTGAATGTGCTAATGGTGGAGAAATGACTTAATATACAGGAAAACTGTTTACCTGCCATCATTGGTGGCTATGCTAATTAGTCTTAGCATTCACTTTGTTGTAGGGTTTGGGGGATAATTGACAGCACTAAGACCTGCCTCCTGGCCCTGATTGGTTGTTTCTAATTAGCACTGGAACCAAACAGATAATCGGTTTGGTTCCAGATTATCTGTCTGGAACCAAACAGTCATGACTTGGTGACAGCTTAAATAAGATATGTAAAAAGATGTTTTTAATAAAAGCTACATGCTGTGAGAGTCGCAGCAGGTCCTGTGTTTAAGGCGGTTCTGATGACTTCCTGGCTGCTTTCCTCAGGTCCAGATGGCACTGTCCACTCGCTCCACCGTGTTATCTCTCTACATCCGGGTGTTTCGGATCGCCCGGGCCTGGCAGGCCCAGACCGGCGCCGTGAGCGACTCGGAGGCGGAGAGGCGGTACATCGAGCAGGAGGCCCGGTCTCTGTTCAGGCAGAACCAGCAGGTGGGAAAAGCAGCTGCTGGGTTTATGTTGTATTTTTAATTCATTATGACTTTTTGTTTAATTCAGTTAGTTTGAATTGGTTTCTAGAATATGTTTGCTAGTTTTCATTAGCTATTATTTGTTAAGTATTTAGTTTTAGGACCATTTTCCAAAAATGTTTTCAGTTATTGATGAACAGACTGACTCTGGTGTTTTCTCTAAAATTTTCATGGTCTCCATTTTGTGGACTAAAAGAAAACTATAGTTAGTCGACTGACGATGTAAACTGCTTGTGTGGGGAAAAAATTAGTTGCACATCACTTTGAAAGGTTAATAACTAGATCATAAACACAAAAACAAAGGATGTTATTTCTATAATTTCGGTTATTTTTATAAATATGTGATGTAGTTCCAGTTATAGTTTTTTATTTATTTATTTAATTTAACAAAAATGTTTTCTCAATTTCACTTTTCAATATTTTGTTAGTTTTAGTTAATTATGATTACTTTGCTTCTGGATAATCTGGTTGAAAAACGAATCATGAAATAAATATTTCATATCATTCAGCCGATCTCAATAATTATTGATTAGTTTGTTGTTGTTTTTTTAATTGAAATACTGCCAAACTGGCTTCGTGTCATTTCCTGTTTAATCCAGTTTTCTCTACATGTTGTTTATTTTTTTGTTTATTTTTTAGCAGTTATGAGGCAAAGTGGGGAAACCAGCAGGTTGTTGCTAGGCAACCAAAGAGCCAGAAAGTCAGTTGAATCCACCAACCTGGAATATTATGGAAGATTATGGAAGATGTATTCAGTGTTGATATTGATCACTGCCTGTCCTGATAGATAATATTATTGATTTATTGTCCAGCTGTTCCTTTCTAACCTTTCTTGCTGTTTTCAGCTCACAGATCCAGAATCCATAAGGAGATGCATAGAGGAATGTGAAGCGAGGATAGAAATAGGTGAGGATGGATTCAGTCAGGACTTCTGCTCATTTCAACCAGAGCAGAAACAAAGTGAAGGAGGTTTTTACGACATTTTAAACATCTAAATTAAACAAAACAACAGAAACAACAAATAAAATGAATTGTGAAGTCTCAGGAAACAAAATTATTTTTTATCGTCCAGCTTCATGCAATTAATTGCTTATTTGCTTTTTGCGACAGGCCTAATTTCATAATGAAACGTTAATATCAGTCTCTTTCTGCTCAGGTCTGCATTACAGGAATCCGTACCCCAGAGCGGTGAGTAAGCGCCCCCTAGTGGCCGGGTTGTGAAAGTGTCAGGAATGCGGTCTGACGGCCTGGTTCTGCCCACAGGCCTACCTGCCTCCTCTGGGTCTGGCCACGCAGCGGGGCAGGCGGCTGCGCGCTCAGCAGCGCCTCCGGAAGCAGGCCAAACCCGTCTACCTGCAGTCCCATGATGACACCTGAAGGCGCCCATCACCGGTTACCATGGTTACCTCAGAGAGGAAGCTGGAGTCTGCATCAGGGGCCGAGCTTCTGCAAGCGGGTACTGATCCGAGATCGGACGCCGTTCAGGAGAAAAAACTTTTTATTTTTTAGGCAAAGTGTTGAGAAAGTCCAAATACTGTTTCATGTTTTATTCATCATCATGTCTACCGTAATTTAATTAATAAAATATCTGAATGTTTTAATCTGTCGCTTCAGCTGATAATTAAAATTTCATAGTTTCAGCATCTTAGAACCCAGAACTCTTCAACATGAGGTTGGCATGAGATTTCTGAATGATCTCTGATTAATTTCTGATTCATCTGAGCTGAACGGGTTAAGATTGGTCTATGGCCTATACAAAACATCTTAATTACACTTTTTGTAGAAAATAATTCTTGGATAATAACATTTTCTTTCAGAATGAGTTGTTTTAGGGCTCTGTCACTTTAAATCCAAATAAACTGCTGCTGGCCAAGTCAACGTTTACACTGTGAAAATGGCTGCAAACAGATGTGCAATTATACAAATGTACGTCTTTGAAAGGCAGAAGTGGAGCCTCCTGCACAGCCAACTAGAATGCAGCAAGTGGTTTCTGGATGGTGAGTCAACAACAAAACTCTTGTCTTTTCCAGCAGCCATTGTACAGCGAATACAGCGGGAAAACCAGCTGACCAAATGTGCTGGAACTCTACTGGGGTTGCTAGGTAACAGGCAGAACTCTGCTGGGGTTGCTAGGTAACGGGGAGTGCCTGCTGATTTGTGACGTTACTTTCCAGATTGTTTTTTAAGCTGCTCATGGTCTTTAATTTAAAGTTATGTCTTTGAATTAACATCAACATAAATCACACAGGAAAACAATTTATAAAATTGTTAGAAATTCACACATCAATGAGCAAAAATCTGTTAAAAGTTGCATTTTATGCACAATAGCAGTTTGTTCATATTAACATTGTTAGGTTGACTTTTGTTTTCAAACTTCTGCTTAAAATAAAAACTCGCTCCTTCTCTCCATCTCAGCTGAAAAACTTTGAGAAAGACCACCAGTCAGGAAAATGACACAGTTCCTCAACACACAGGAAGTGATGCGTCTGCTGCAGCGTGACTCTGTTTCCACGCAGCTGACAGATGTTTTAACTGCTTCCCATCCTGATCCGATAAACCAGAAGCTGCTGAAACAACAGATCTGCTCACCTCAAACCTTCAGCGTCAAACAGGAGGGAGAGCAGCAGCTGCTTCTATGATGTAAAGGTGAAACATCTGCTGCTGCTTTTTCATCACTAAATGTTCACAGACTGAACGGAAAAGAAAGATCAGATAAAATATTGGTCTGGATTGGTCTGCAGTCTGAGCCTCTTTAAACCTTTAGCTAAAAAACACATAAAAACAACTAGGAATGTTTTAAATATTTTAATAAATTCACATCTTAGGATTTTTTCTAGTTTTCTCATGGGCAACTGCATGTTTTTGGGATTTTTTTATACATATTTATATCAACACCCTGCAGAAGAAAATGTACTCACCATCTTTTTGCTTTCAAGTTTTAATTTAAATAAAATAAAATCGTGGTTCTTCAAATATAACAACAAATTTCCCAAAGTAAAAATTTGTCAGAAATGAAAGTTGCTTTTCTTCAAAACGTCATGCAACGTTTCCAGCTGTAAATGATTTTTATTTTGGCTTTATTGAAGGTAAAAACTTTAACAGATTTCTGGTTTATTACTTTGAACTTTCTGCTTTGTGCCACTTTTTTCTCCTAAATTACACTTTAAACGTCTGAATCATGCAGAATGAATGCACAATAATGTTTACGGTCAGATACGGATCCATTTATGGTAAAGATGACGTCACTGTGAACCTTGTGTTGGTATTTTATTTGCTGCTGTGCTGCAAGCTGCCGCATGGGGGAGCCATTTCACCGGAATCAGAAAAAGAAGAACCAGGACGGAACCAGAACAGTTTACATGACGTAAATAGATCCGGTTTAAATGTTTCCCATCAAACTCCTCATTGAAACTTAATACGGTCATTATCTGACCTTTGACCCCATAAAGACTGATGTCACTTACAACAAGAGATTTCTCTTCTAAGTGATAATCTGCTACTACTTTTTTCTAATCAATATCATTAACTTAAAACTCTCGTCTTTCTTGTTAAAATGTTTCTTGTGATTCATTTTGTCTTATTTCAAGTGATCTAAGATAATTGCAGTAAAAACTAGACCAAAAATTATTTTTTTCAGTGTAAAACCATCTGCGGTTCCCATTGTTTCTGCTAAGATCTGAAACTTTGAATAACTGAAAGATAAATTATAATTTTATTACGGCAGACCCAGCCAGGCTGTTCCTGTTTTGTTATCTCTGTGCAGAGTTCAGATCAATCTGCTCTGCTCCTAATAAACTCTCTAACATTTTTATTTTAGTTTTTAAAACCTTCTGCATAAATCCAGCCATAAATTCCCGCTAACTACGTCAGAGGAATAATTTTTAAAATAAAACAATGAACTGTTAAGAACTTCACTGACTGCAGTCATGTTTTTAATCAACACCTTTAAATGTTTTTTAGGGGCCACTTGCTTTTTATAATTGCTCATTTGTAGCATTATTAATTATTTCTTGTAATTTGCTGTAAATTATATGCTTCTCCATGTGTGTCAGTTATTTTTCTTAATTTTGTTTTTACCAATAAAAGGTAAATACAGAAGAAAATTATGTTTTTTAAAATGTATTCATGCTTATTAATATTTACTGTCCTTTATTCAAAATCAATTCAACTAAAAAATACTTTATTGATCCCAAAGGGAAATTAAATGTTGTTGTAACTCATATTAATTCACATTTTTCAGAGTTATTGTAGATAATAACGGCTGTTAAAAGAAAGTGCTCCTGTAGCAGTCCATGTTGCAGTGAATGTGAAGGAACCTCTGACTGAAGACAATCTAATGAAGAGGATGGTCAGAGTTCTCCATCATTATTATGAGATAATATTAATTTAATTAAAATCATTTATTTCATTATTCTAAATAAATAAATAAAACAACAAAATACACAAAACCTTACCAGGTATTTTAGCCTAATTTCTAGTGCAGATATTTTTATACACTTAAAATAAGTAACTTCAGGAACATGTAGAAGCTTATTTTAAGTAAATAATTATTTAATATTGATGAAAAACTGATAAATCCACTGCAGATTATTTCACTGATAACATTGGAAATTTTTCTTGTTATCAGTGAATTTATACCAGTGGAACCAGAACTTTATCAATATTTAGGAATTATTAAAATAAACTCATTCATCTTGCTGAAAAGTTACTTATAAGTTAGTTTTCTCTTTTTTTAATTTTACTAAAATATTTGCAATCAAAAATAGACCAAAAATATTTTGTAAGATTTTGTGTTTTTGCAGTGAAAATTAATTATAAAGTCTCTGTAAACAAAACTGTAAATGGAAATTATAAGACCGTTTTCATTGATGCCATTAATTGATTTATGGCTGATTGTTTCTGAGCTGCTCCGGTTAAATCCACCAACTATCTGCTGCTTGTCTTTCAGACTTTGCACAACAATCCGGTGAAGTTTCCAAGCCCTGCCTCTGCGAAAGGTTGAACATTAACGCGGCGCCGAGGAGAGCGCAGCTCAGAGCCACTGAGGAAGTTCGGATCCGACACCCGGACAGAAACACTTGCATTTGGGTCATCGGGATTCTCCGTTTTCAGATAAATTCACCTTTAAACTCTCCGGGGATCATGGCGTGTTTCTGACCGACCCGCCGGACGGGAAGATGCAGCGGTGCGGCTGGTGGCTGCTGCTCTGCGCCTTCGGGGTTGGCGCTGCCTGCGGTCGCCGCAACGGGCAATGTCTGGACGGGATCACCATCAACGTGATCCTGCTGGAGGACGAGGAGTCTCCCTGGAGCCTGAAGTACGTGGAGAGGAAAATCCTGGAAGCCATAGAGAAAGACGCAGAAATTAACGCCGCAGAAGGTGAATGAGAATGAATTACTGCGATAAAATAATCAGCTTTACTGCTCTGTTTGTTCATCTCTCCAGCAGGAAAACGGAAAACTTCTCAAAGTTTTCACCAAACTGTGTAAATCAAGCAGAGCCAATTCATCAGGAAAACAGATAAGACAGAAAGTAGCTGGTGCAATAAATTTTTAGATAGCAGCCATTATGCTGCGTACTTTATGTTTTCAGTAAGCAGGTCAGTTCATGTACAAGGTAAAAGCAAACTGATTTGGGCCTCCATACCAGCAGGGGGCGTCCAAGACCCTCAGCAGTCATGGAAAATTGGTTTGTAAATGTTTTATTAGGGAGTTAATATCATCTAAAATACATAAAATGATTCTGTTGATTGTTTCTTCTCCGCTGTCAGTAATAACTCTAAAAACTACAAATAAACATTAAAAACTTTTTTAAACATGTTAGAAATACAACACTGCTGCAGATCATGAAAGATGTTAAAATATTTTTATTTGTGTTTTTGTACATTCATTTTAATAATCTGAAATGCAGAAACAGATAAAGTAGATATTAGCTGAGCAATAGCGTGAAGGTCCCCGTTCTGCTCAGGGCCCTGAGCAACGTGAGACCGGCCCTGCTACACGAGAAATATGTTCAAATAAAACAGAGATCTGGAAATTAACTTTCCTCAGGCTTGGAGAAGAGGTCTGTGAGTTGTATAAATATTTACAAAAATCTTCTGAAGAGTAAAAGGTTTTAATCCAAATCCAAACTAAGAGTTTGTAATAATTATTATTCAAACTAAGCATGAAAATCTCTGACAAAAGCATCAAACTGATTAAAATAGGTTCAGACAACAAATCCAGACCCAGAATAAAAACTTTCTGATTAAAGAAATAAACCAGAAATATAAAAATAAATTCACTGGGAGAGTTTCAGGTTAAAACTGAAAGTATAGCAGATAAATATTAATTATTTATCCTGTAAGAATTTTATAGCTTATTTGTGGTTTCACAATCCATTTATTTCATTTAGTTTTTCTTGTTCATGTTTTTATTAACTCTCAGACTTTCTTGATCTGCTTGTAAAAAATATTGATTTTGTTTTATTTCAGTACTGAAGGAATGTCAAAATTAGAATTTTTGGATATAAATCATTTCTGAAGGGTTCATATCTATTTTGTAGGAGTTTTATCAGACAGGTCAACTCAATTAAACTCAGAATTTTTTTAAACTGAAGGCAAATGATTTATTCGTTTCATTTCTTTAAACAGGTGAAATCTGAAAAGTGTGGTGTATTTTATAAAACCATGTTTTGATCCGACTGTCAGCCATCTTTCAACATCTAAATCAGTGGTTCTTAACCTTTCTTGAGGTACCGAAACCACCGGTTTCATATGCGCATTCACTGAACCCTTCTGCAGTGATAAAATATGATTTTTCCCCCCCA